GAAAACTGACGTATTTGATCTCACAAATTTTCCATTTTTTTTAGTCAGAAATGGATACTTATCGAAAGTGAAAGGCGTGGTAAGCGGTGATGGAACAGTCAATGATATGCAAGTCACTAGATTGTGGTTTGTCCTTGTGAAAATTAACAATGAAGACAGCACTTGCGTATTGGATGGGGATAAGACTAAACTACGGTAAAACTCTTGACATAGTCTAGTTTGACAAAATTCAAAAATCATTTGTATTTAGTTGAATTACATTTTCAACTACACATTTCCACGGATCCACAAAATACTATTCATTTTTATCTATTTATAAATTAATAGTTTGTAATTTTCCATAGACGTGAAAAGCAAAGTCTCCTGACGCCAAACTTTTTCTATCCAAATCACTGGAAAGACACAGTCTCCTCTGCCAACTTTTTCTTTTCAAAAATCACCGTACTTCATATATCGGGCGAGCTAGTTTTTAAATGGCATGGTAAAAGACAAGTTGTTGGAATAAATTAGTCCATAATTTTTTTCGCTAATAAAAAGACGAGAATACAATTGGAGTAACAACTTATCGAAATAATGGTATTTGTATAATAACGAACAAATTACGGCTTTCTCAAACATAGCAAATGCAAATATTTGAAGGAGATAAAATGAAGCGAATGAAAATGGATTTCGCCCCCTTGCATTGGTGTTAATAGGATTTAATGAACGTCTATCTCCCAAGATACAATGTTTGTTCTAAAATTAATATAACACAATATTAATTTTGACTGGCTAACCAACGTTAGACTGTACCCTTTTAGAACGAAAGATATTGAATACTAAATATTGAACACGCAATTCAAAAATAATATGAAAATTATTTTGACATAATTTGGAGAAAGAAAGAATTAAGATGGTTCTAATTATATATTTTCATGTATCTCTTCCCAACGGTTGCATCTATTGGCAAAATTAATTTTAACCATTAGATCGTACCATTTCATATTTGATGGTGTAGAGGTCACATCCATTCCCAAAAAACATAATTTTTTAACATGCAACATTTGCAATTGAAAAGTCGCGACCAGTCATCGCACCAATTTGAGACTTTTTCAATTCACACCTATAAATATTCCAAAAATTCCGATAAAAATACATCTCAACCACCTGTTGCGAGCCATGTGTTGTGAGCCAACTTGTTTCTGTATTCATGCTATGTTAAAAGTCGGTGGTAGAAGCTCGCATACCATATTTCAATATCCAACTTAGACGCGTCACATCACATGTACCGGACCCGGATTAATTAAGGCAGACTCGTTCGTAAAAAGATGTCTGGATCATGCTTGGTGGGACAACCGAGCTCCACACTAAAGTTGTGGTACGCTCAAAATTATTTATAGGGGTATGCAATCTGCATCGGCCAATTTATGTAGACTATTATCTATATTAAGTTCCTGTTTGTTTATTATTTTTGGAAGAATGAGAATGAAAAATATAATCGTTACAGGCTCTACACAAGAGATAGAAATTCAAATTTGGTGACTTGATGTGATGGATAACGGTCATATTTTTCATTTTAATGATGAAATAATGGAAACCAAAGAGGGGCTAAATCTCTGTCTAGAAGAATTTATAAATGGTTTAGTTTATAATTGTATGGTACTGATGAATTTCATAAAATATATGACTGAAAGTAAAGTTTAATAATTTAAAATTTCGTCAAACAGAGACTAAAAATATTTCTTTAGAAAGCATTACAGTTCTTTCAAATTATATATAAAGAAAATTGTATATGTCATGCCGAACATGGTGGTGTCAACGGTTCAAAGGGCGTAGCACGCCATGTTTCTCATAAATGATTTTGAGAATTACTCGAAACCCCTTATGTTTCAACAGGACTATGCTTAAAATGCCCGACACACCTAATTAAAGGGTATATCCCATACAACGGCAGACTCGAGCTCGTCGCTTCTTTTGAAGTATCTTGAACATTGCCCGAAGCCCTTATTGCTTAAGGAATAATAGAAATTGGAGTGGACGACAAGGCTAAAGAAGTGACTTAAATATTATGGGATTATTCAATATTGCATATGATTCCCCCTCCATGTGAGGGGGTGTAAAAAGGATTATGTACACCAAGAGTATACATATAGATTAATCCCTCTTTGGATAACTAATTACTTATTTTCCCACCAAAATTAACTAATCCAATAACAAAACCTTTTACAACGTCAAGTTTTACTTATTATTAGTGCTCTTGATGCCAATGTATATTTCTTTATCTTGGATGTAATTTAGTTGATGCTTCATTAATGGAGAATCCTGTCGAAGTAGATGTGGATTTGTCCAAATCTTGCATTTTGGGCAAGCTCCGTGATTCCTACGGAGGAAAAATGCATGTTGACGAGGAACAGCGAAAGTGGCTAAATAACTATTGAATGTTAATAACATTGAAGATCATGTTTGGTCTTTCATCTGCATCTTCTTGAACACATAGAAAGCCAATTTGAATGCATGAAATTACTTCATTCCTAGCATATGCGTTTTGCAATGTTAGATCCATCAATTCAAAATGCCCATTCTCTCTCCAAAGCTTCCAAGCCTGTACATCAATAGCGGTCGAATGTTTGAAGCTTTATGATATTTAAAAAAATGGCCTCAAGAAATAATTTGGAAAGTAACGACCCTAACTCTAGATGGAATAGGAAATAAAAATATTGGCTAATATTCATAAAAGATTACAAACAAAATAAAGTCCAAATGAAATTAATCGAGTCAATTCAACTGTCCAATTAACAAACATAATAATCTTTAAGAGAGCTGCTATTTCATCCACAAATCTTATATATCTATCACATTTTTTCAAATGTACATTATGTTTTTAACCTCATGTAAATTTAATTAGATAGACAAGAATAAAACCAAATGAAATGTTTCCATCTAAATTCGTCCACAATTTTTCTTTCATCCTCATTAAATGCTTTTGGACCTTTTTTATTCTTTTTGACGTTGCATTTAACTAAACCATATTCATAAAATATCTTCTTTATGTCAACAATTTTCTATGTAATAGTGAATTTATGTAACGTAAATATGTTTGAAGGAACTTCCTCATCTTTTATTTCATTTCTTAACGAGTGTATATTAACCGGCAGAGGGATCTTGGCACAATTTGCTATGTAATTTTGCAAGATGCTTAAAATGTAAATACCTCACTTAACTTGTATTTTCTTCCTCTTTGTATTCGTCTAAACACATCAATATGAAACTATGTGAAGTGTAATAGGGATATGTTGAAAATTATACTCTAAAATGATAAAAATTATCAAGACCTTCGTTGAATCGAGATAGCCAGTTATAAGATTTGGTTGTTTCTCAATTTTGGTGATGCATGAAAATTCAAAGTGAAACATATTTTCCTGAGGGTTAAGAAATAATTTTTAACTTCAATTTTGATGTTTTTGAGCATTGAAAACTAATCACTGAGGTGAGTGCCCGACTATAAACTTTAGGACCTTATGGGATTAGTCAAGGTGCGCGTAAGCTGATCCGAACACTTATGGTATAAAAAAAAAAGAATGCATTGAAAACTAATATGCAACTACCGTGAAATATTGAAGTTAAGTTTCCTTTTTGTAAAGTTTGATGACTTTCTATTGACATACTGCTAACTAATTGTACATATAGAACGCAAAATTTTTGGCTCCGACTTGTATCGAATGGACAGGGACATGAAATGTTATCTTGTTGGATAACGTTAAATATATTCTTTTTATAAGTTTGAAGAATTTTTTTAAGTACGACAGGAGTTCTCTCTTGTTCACAAAAAAATTGTGTGCAAGAACATTTTAACATATGCAGCGTTTTCTCTTGTTCACACAAAAGCTAAAGGTCTATTTGATTGCGAAGATGAAATTTGGGTGAAAAGAAAATGAATTCCAAAGAATTAAATTACCTAGAAATTGTTTTCTTGAAAATTGTAAATTATTGTGTTTATTTAATATAATTTTTCACGTGAAAAATGTTGAAGTAAACATATTTTTTGGTGTTCGTTTGACTTTGTTTTATATGAAAATTGTCAATTTAATGGATATCCACTTCTATCATTGTTCCAATAATTTGTTTCCATTGCCAACAAAAAAATTAAAAAAATAAAAAAATAAAAAAGAACAACTATATTTTGGTATTTGTTTGGTTTTATTTTACATAAAAATTGTCAATTTCAGGAATGTCCTATTTTACAATTGTTCCTAAAATTTGTTCCCATCGCCAACAATTAAAAAAAAGAAAACAAAAAGCAAAAAAAAAAAAAAAAAAGGGGGAAAATAAAAAACCATCTAACCCGTAGAAATTCATAAAAAATCAACTCCCTGAAAAATTTTGTCAATCAAACAGGTCAAAAGTGAAAGTTGAAATTCGAATTCCAAGTTCCATGGAAAAATTCATGCAACCAAACGAGGCCTAAGAGTCTCTCTCCTTCAACAATCGAAAATAGTAGTAGAAGTTCTATGCACAGAACCCCTTCATCTCAGCGTCTTTGCCTGTCCAAGAGGTATTTCTCGTTCGAGCATACCCTGTATCTCGCAATGTATGTCCAAGACCACAGAACATTCACCACTTCACAATGCAACAGCCCGTGATTTTTGGTCTCCTTACCTTTAGGTTACAGAGAACAATTAGGAGAAATCTTCTTCCTTCGTTTGTCAACCTCAGTTTTCAAAATATGATTTCATAGTAATTATTGGAAAAAAAGAGAGGCCGTCCATGTTTGATCATTCCCTCTCATGACATCACTCTGAATCTTTTCCAAAAGTCTATAATATAATATATTGATCGATTCAATAGCATCGCCCGTTTCAAACGTTGACGGTTTCTCCAAATGAAACATCCCTTCCATTTTTTTGCCAACGACGATATTTAACAGCTTAGGAAACTCCTCTTCGAATCCATACCACACCAGACATTGTTTCAAAATTCACCCAGCTACCATCCTTCATCTAAAACTACAGAAATTTACCATATTTCTTAACCGTCTTGTCCCGGGAGATGGGGAATAAGTTTTAATAACTCAGGTTTATTACAGTGCTTATCACATTGAAAACTTCCTACTCTTATCACCTTGCATGTTGCAGAATGTAACGGATACTCCAAAGCATTATAAATTAACTTTCCAGAAAATGAAATTTACAGCAAAAAAAGTCCCAAACCAAATTTCCCCACTGTTTTCTTCATTATATAATTCATTCAAATTCCTCCATCCAGTTGAAACTCCAAGCTCATAGCCAAGTATTTGAGGATAATACTGGTCAATCTCTGTAATCTTTAAAATTGAACAACCCCTTTATGGGATAAAGTTCAGCATTTTCAATGACTTTCCTCAATGCAGCAGGGCCCATAGACATAAGGACCTACATTTAGAATATATGGCATAGTCAAAACAACAATATCAATAAACGGTAGGGGTAATGAAGACAACATTAACCAGCTAGAAGAATGTTTCTACGCATGAATGCAAGGTCATAATGAATGGTATTAGGATCTAAAAACACTAAATTCAATACAAAAATTTGCTCATACATGTCTGAAGTATGTTGATTAATATGAGAGAATGGTTCTCATACTCTAATGTGTTCTAACTGTTGAAGCATTCAAATTTTACTTTCAAACATGTTGGAAATATGAATTGAGTCTATAAGGACTCAAAAACTACATCACAAAACTGCGACAAAGTAAATGGTTCCAGAGCTTCAAAGATTCGAAGAGACGCTTCATACATCATTTTCCACCACAGTACATCATTTTCCACCACAGTATCACCAACGAAAGGTAATGTCAATACAGAGTCTAGCGTTAAATGTGATTTCTAATTTCAACAACGCAGCAATTTAGCAGAACATATGATCTTAAACCCGTTGAAATGAAACGTGTTAAATATCAAATTTTAAACATGCTTTGCACGGTTGCAACAGAAAACAGCAGGCACAATGGAGGCACTAGCATATCAGTACATTAGAAGCAAAGATTTCAAAAACAATTGAATTTATGGTTTATAAGTTGCATGTAACAGATCCTGTAAAGAAGTTAATGAAAAATGAGTCGAAAATTTGGATATTAAACCTCGTTTGCATCTTTAAAAGATTCAGCATTATTCTTCTTTGGCCATTTGACTCGCCAACACCTATTAACAAAAAAAAAAAAAAAATCTTAGATTTTGTTGAATCATTGTTGATATACTTGTACTAATTGCATGATAAACCTTTCTTTCCCTAAGCGGCGGGCAAGTTCTTCAGCCAAAGCTTGACCAGGTGGGTCCCCATCTGTGGCAAGTATTATGCGAGATACCTATCAAAAGAAACAAAAGAAAAGGCCGAAAAGCTTTTGCATCCCAACAATTTCTTTTTACAAATCATTGATATAATAAAACAAACTGTAATCCGAACAAACCTTTTCAATGTACTCTTTGCAGTTCCATAAATATTGATACTTTGTGTCCTAGCTTCAAAGACTGCGTAATAAGAGCATTAGAATCAACACTTCAACGAAAGTTTCATCATAAAATCTATGATGTCAAAGACACAGTAGAGGACTGCCTAGAACCAGCACACATTTGAAAGCCCTCGTAACATTAGAGGACAAACTATCCTAAAGTAAAGAGTAATTTTTTTTTTTTAAAGATCTAGGAATAAATCGGACAATTATGTCAGTCGGAAGAAGTATTATACAGAATATATATAATACTATTACAATTGGTAGGTCAACGTGTCATTCAAATAAGTCGTGTTATCCGTGGTTTTCCCATGTTGCAACTTTCGTAGCAATTAGGTCGATCCGTAAAGTAATTATTTGATATGGAGAGAGAAGATCATTGACTCAGCTAACGTTTGAAACAAATAACAAAGATAATATTGTGGGAAATGATGAAAAAATAACAATAATGATTCTCCCAGGATGAAAGTCAAAAGGGTCGAGGAAGGTTTGCATATAACTCAATCAAGGTTGAAAATGCAGAGCACACAAATATTGAGGTTAACTGTAGATATCTGGGGAAATAATAAAAGACATCATAAGTGGTTGGTTAAAGATTTGCAGCAAGACAGATACCTCTTCAGCAGAAGGCAGCTCTTTCTTTGAGACTTTTGGAGGTGCACCGTCTGGAACACTCGCACAGTTTTTAAAACCAGCTTCTTCCATTGCAAGCTTATCAATTTCACCTTCAACCTTTATTTAAGAATATAAGAATAAATAGCACGAAAAGTCAAATGCATTGACCATAGACAACAGAACAATGAAGAAATTTAACTTACAATGATAATATCACTAGCTCCCTTTATATCATCCAGTCCATAAAAAATCTTCTGAGTATTCATTTCCTGCCCATCAGTGTTACCAGCTAAATACTATGAGACTCATGACGGTAAAACATCAGAACTACTTCTATACTTAAAAAAGGCACATCAGAAAACCATAACAGTCCAATTAGTAGCCTGAGCCATATTATGAATGGTTGGTGCAGTAAGAGAGATATAATCACATAGAGCATCTTACATGAGTGTTTCTTCTTGGAAATATAAACCTTTTCAGGCATGAAGAATAACTAACAATTCATATAAACATACCTGCGGAAATTTAAATCTTTCAGGAATGAAGAATAACTAACAATACATATAAACATACCCGCCAAAATTTCTTAGTAATAATCCTATACTTGCAGTTCACAAGTTCTCCATTCCTTCGATAGGTGAAAGCAATAGCAATCTGTATCGAAATCTTCATCAGACATTACTCCAGCAAAATTAGGAATTAAATCAAAGTCAAGTTACTAGAATATAACAGTTTAGAAGAGTCTAAACAATGTTTCTGACATCCCTCTTCGTCTCTCTAAAGTCTGTTCCCCTGCCCCTCCTCTTCTTTCAGGAGAAGGGCAAAGGGCCCAAGGTCCAGGAGGGATGTGAATACAATGGAAATGTAAGTACTTCAATGGCTAGAAATAATTCTTTAGCATGTCAAGACAACCTCGTGATTGCACACAAATATACATGAACATTTCTGAAAATAAAACAACATCTGCACCTGGGTGCCTCTTCATTTTTGCATTACAGAGTTTCTCCGCAGTGTTTCCCCAGATATCATTCGCTCAGCAAAATATGCAAGTAGCTGAAACAACAGTCAAAAGGCATCAACGAGGTTGAATATCTTGGTCAGATATAGATAAACCACAAAGAGAACTGGTATAGGATCATAGACAACAAACATACGGTCTACTTTGATCTTAACATCGATAAGAGGCACAAAATTTTACAGTGCCAAACATGCAGCAAGAACAATATTAGCAAATAGATTCTACTTGCCAGTGATTCGTATGTGAGAGAATGTCCAAACATGGACGACAAATAATAATAACTACCTTACTGCACACAGGTTCCAGTTCCAAACTCTCCTCTGTGATTTCTATGAATGCTTGTTTTACTTTGCCGATTCTATTCATTTTTGCATAAGTTGATTTTACATCAGCAAAGGCCTACAAGCAAAATAACCAGTAGACCACATGAGTTGTGCACCATCAATACTCAGTAGTCAGTTAAGCAACTTCATTTAAAGCATACCCTTGTAGTGCCTCTCCACCCACATTTAGCCCGAAAGCAGTTCCACATTGCTGCAGCACTATGATATATAGGTGTATAGTACTATACTTCTGTTAAAAGAAAGGAAAACACAGAACACAAAGTATAACAGAAACTTACCTATCTTCTGTGATGTGAAGAGATAAGCTTTTCTCTTCTGAATCTCCACCTTTGCACTACAATGCCAACAATGAGGGGACTCAAGACAATGAGACAGACAACTAAATGAGAACAATCTGGTATGTGGTAGATACAAATGCAGTCCCGTTGACAAAAACATATGAAATTAACTAATTTATGTCTGTTGGCATGTTTGACATAGATATATAGTACTTGTCTCTTCATATACAGTAGTAGTGAAAATGTTAAATTACTAAATCGCAAGAGCTTTTTATAGCTGAATGAACTGAAACATGACAAGTCTCTCGGAAAAATAATATTCAAAAGCTTGTACATTCGGACACACTAAACCACAGTATTGCCCTGGCTTACAAGCATCGCCATCAATCCCGATATCTATTGCCCTGGCTTACAAGCATCGCCATCAATCCCGATATCCTCCAACTTCTGTTTTAACATCCTCAGCTGCTCCGGATCTAGCACTTGCTGCTCTGGGGTCTCCAAAACAACTACAGAAACTCGACAAAATTAATAAAATCATTCTTCAAAATCCATTAAAAACGGAACAAACAAAACTAGCAACGTACAATAATCTTCAAATATGGTACCACTTCTTGATGCTGTTGCAGTGGATTTATGATATCACGTTTTTGTTTAACTTTCTAAAAAATTCAAAATTTTTTTTAATTTTTTTTCAAACAACACAAAGAATTCAGCTTTACCCCTCTTTTAATCCAACTAATGCATATATGAAATGTAAACATATTATACCCCCATACTTAAGTACCAAATTATATGAACAAACTTAAATACCAAATGAATTTCGAAAAGAAAGTTTCTTAACAATAACGCTCTAAAAATGTGCTCTCTGCTTAACTAGTTGTACCTTCATCTGACATAGTCGATTTTCAAAGATATTTAACACTGCAAATATATTAGAAGTGAACAAAACATCAAAATAGAAAAGAAAAGAAATAGAATAAAAAAACCTGGTCTGGGTTTAGGCATAAGAGCATGGGGGTAATAACTCAACCCAGAGGTCATCCGATGAATTGGAGATATGGGTCTCGGAGAAGAAGTAGAAAATGCTATATTTTTCCTATGAGTAGAAAAGAACTGAGGTTGCGAAGATGAAGAAAAATGGGCCACATATGTATGTGTATGCGTCCCGGGCGTGAGTGTAGACTTAAGAAGAAGCATGTGTTTGGAGCCCATGAAAATTACTCTGTTGCAGTTGGAATTGGTGCTCAAAAATAGTCTGCTCTGAGGTAAAAGAAGCATATTTTGAGCCGCAAGGGTTTCTTGTTATTGACAGAAAGACGAAGAAGTAGATGCTTGCAATTCCATGGATAAGAAAGAAAAGGCAGCGAAAAAGGCTTAAGAAGTGTTTACTTCGATTTTACACTCTTGTGGGCGACTGGTTTTCTCTGTTCTTTTTGCATTCTTGACTCTCCTACAATAAGCGTGTTTCCTCAGTATTTAACACCATGTTTGACAGAATTTTCTTATTTTCTGAATATTTCATTATTTTGGATCAGATGCTTCTTTCTTAGTTATAAATAAAATGCTAATATGATCAGGTTTTCTATCAAATCAAGTACCATATATGTAGAACTTTTATTAAAAAATTAAATATTTATTTTAAAATATATCATTCTAATATGATCAGTTTTACTTTCAAATCAAGTACTGTATGTTGAACTTTTTTTCAAAAAATTGATTATTTATTTTAAAATATATATTATACTTATAATTAATTATTTTAATTTCCACCAAACTATAATATCCGCTTCTTTGGTTTAGGTATGATAACTCCTATGGGCGAATCCAGACAGTTCGAACTGTGGAGTCAAAAATGAAATTTTTTTCGAACAACGTATCATTAGCTAAAATAAGACCATATGCTACTACAATAAGATTTGGGTTTGGGCATTGGGCTAGGGAAATTAATTGGATTGGCACACTACTTTGACAGAAAATTACGTTTTAAGCAAGGGGGAAAAAAAAGGAAAATCCAAAAAATTGTGAGGTCATTTGACCCCACATGACCCCATGTGGGTCTGCCAGTGATAACCCCGATGGAGACTTCAAGAAATTGCATATGCTAATAAAATTTGAAAATTAGGTTTGTAGTTATCAAATTTGATCTCGACATTTATTTGGCCAAGCCTTCAAGTTATCAATTCATTTGTCAAATCGTTGGATTGTTTGTTGGACCGACGTGTTTAAAATCTAGTAGTAGTCCAATTTTTAAACTTCGACAAATGAACAAAAAATAGTTAAATTTTTTGTTTATTATAATGTTCATTTTTGTTCGATATTACAGAACGATCTAGAAAATTACAATAGCTCATTTTTTCAAAACTCATTTTCAACCAAAATTTTTTTAATAAAATAATATTACACGCAAACTCAAAAACGTCCTTAATTTTTAATCACACATTCTCTATAAATCTACTATTCAAAATACATTCTTTCCCTCAAAATAGGGTCAAACAAGGGTTAAATGAACAATATGTGGCTAATTAAGTACATTCATCTGAAGAAACTCCCAACGACAGATAAAAAATAGCATTCCTAAAGTCTTACGTGTTATTTGTACTTTTAATTCTCTATCTTGGATATAATTCAGAAATTGATGCTTCATTTACAGAGAAGGATATCCAAGCCGACGTGGGTTTGTAAGAATCTTGCACTTTGGGCAAGCATTGTGTTCTACTACGAAGAAAAAATGCAGGTTGACGAGGAAGAGTAAGAGTAGCTGAATGATTATTGAGTGTCAAAAGTATTGAAGCCATGTTTGGTCTTTCATTAGCATCTTCTTGAACACACAGTAAGCCAATTTGAATGCATCGAATTACTTCATTCCTAACATATGTGTTTTGTAATTTTATATCCATCAATTCCAAGGGTCTACTGTCTCTCCAAAGCTTCCAAGCCTGCACATCAAAAGTCGTTGAACTTTTTAAACTCTAATCCTAGTTACCATATTAATAAAAACCAAAAAAATAAATAAATAAAATAAAATAAAATGCAAAACTACTCCTGAAGCTCTATGATTGTTAAGAAATATGGCGTCCAGAAATAATTTGGAGTTTGCACTTACATAGCTTATGAGATCCTCAGCGCCATCTGATTGGTAGAAGCTGCTATTCTTTCTGCCGCTTATGATTTCCAAAATAAGGATGCCAAAGCTAAAAACATCAGATTTTACAGAGAAGTTTCCATACATTGCATACTCTGGAGACATGTAACCACTACAAGCCAAAAAAAGAAAAATATATCTTGAGCTAATAAACTTAAGAAGGTATTAGTATTTGATTCTAATAAAATCCACTTATTACTTAATTTGGCAGATTGATCAAATATAGAATAGATATAGTGTAGAACTTACTATGTCCCTACAATCCTACTTGTATTTCCTTGAGACTGATCAACGTCGAAAATTCTTGCCATGCCAAAATCTGATATTTTGGGATTCATATTTCCATCTAATAATATATTGCTAGCTTTGAGATCACGGTGTATAATTCGTACAGGAGAATCTTCATGAAGGTAAACCAATCCGCGTGCTATTCCTCGTATGATCTTGTAACGTTTTGACCAATCCAACATTTGTCGCTTTTCTGCATCTTTACATCCATTTAACATAGTTTTCAAAGGCAGGTCTCAGAAATGAAAACTAAAAGGCCTTAACTAGATAATTTATATTATGTATAGGGCTAAGAAAAAAATCCATCAACCCCAACACTTGTGGGGCTCCATCCTGAGCAAGACGGGGATTACTCGTTAAATTGGATATTTGGGTAAGGGACGGANAGCCACATTATTCCAAAAAAATGTATTCTTAAACAGTGATTTGATATCATTTCAACTACACATTTTTCAATAAAATAATATTACAAGCAAATAAAAAAATTTTCCTAACCACACATTTCTCATCAATACACTATTCAAGAATGCATTATTACCAAAATAATGTGGCTCAAACACCATATATATATATATATACTCACACACACACTTTTTTTTAGAGAATTCAATACTTTTAGTGGAAAATTTCACGAAATTACATTTGTTTTAATAGAAAATGGCAATTAAGATTATCCAAGGAACATAACAAACAATAAAAGCTTTAGTAAACTAAATATATTTGACTAATTTAACTTTTAAAAGTAAATAAAAAAATTTAAAAATTAATAATTATATTATTGTCTCACTTTAATGAATGAGGTTAATAAAATAAATTATTAAAAAAATGTAAATGAGTAGTAAACGGGACAAAGACCTCGTCCAGCTTTAAATGGGTAACGGCATGGGAGGTGGGGGAGGTTGCCCCGCCCTGTCCCCTCCCATCGTCATCCCTATATATATATATATATTGGCTAAATTACTTTTTGTCGATAGCCAATGTATATGAATTTCAATATAAAGATGAGAGGAAGTAATATCAAGATTGATGCTAACCGAATAGAAAATAATCGAGGCTTTTATTGGGCACATATTCATAAACAAGTATCTTCTCTTCTCCTTCCAAGCAAAATCCTAGGAGTCTTACTAGATTTCTATGTCGAAGCTTGGCAATAAGTACAACCTCATTCTTAAATTCTTTTGCACCTTGTCCTGAACTTTTGGAAAGTCTCTTTACAGCTATTTCTCGTCCATTTAGGAAGGTACCCTACAAGCACGTTAAACATAGTATTATACCCCACAGATTGTCAAATACTGTATAGCTCGGCTTACCAAAGAAATCAAACCTGTGAAAGTGATTGTTAAAACATTGTAAATATAAAGGGATAAACCTTGTACTTAGAATTATACTCCTTCAAGTACCTTGTAGACACTACCAAATCCACCTTCACCAATTTTGTTGTCAGCAGAAAAGTTGTTGGTAGCAAGCGCAATAGTATTCAAGTCAAATTGCAAGGATTCAACTGACGAAATCTCATTTCCTTCGTTACATACAAAAATAGCAAATCATTACATAAATTTCTTTAATCTAGGAGTGAGGGAACAGGCGAGAAACTAAGATCTTTTTTTCTTATCAATTTCTTACTTTCTTATATTGAAGATGCAATACTGAAATAAGTGCACTAGACAAAAACTGTAGAACAAGTAGGGAAACCAAATTTAAATAAATAAACATGTCGCGTATCTCTTTCCACTTAAACTTTTAGATGGTGTGATTCAATATGTTAAGATCCAACAGAAAATCCTAAATTAGTTCTCTGATCACCATTCATTTTATAAAAATTGTAAACGTGCTTGCATATGAAAGGACTTGATCTTCTAGATGATTTAGTTCGATCCAGTATCTCAATAGTGCTATAAGACCGAATGGGAATCTTTTTCTTCTACTTTACCTTTGTGTGCTCGTATCTTACCATTTTCCTCACTCACAGCACCATGAGGTTCCTTCCTCGTTCTCCTTTTCAAGAAGCAGCTGCCTATGAAAAAAAGCACTAACGAAACAGCAATTGGAACAACGATGGCAAGAATAACTTGTTTTGAAATTCCTCCATTTCCTGAATTGGAAACACAAAAGAAGAAGAGAAACGATAAATTTTCTTGTCGTAATCTTCCACTGAATACCTAGGAGATTTACTGAGATATATCCCTTGTTATGATCACTGCAGACTTATATTGATGCTTGTTGCTTATTTATTTTGTTTTTCGGAAAAAGAAAAAGAAAAAACTAATCTTTTTTTTCTTTGTAGAAATCCATTTTTTTTAAAATAATGTATTGCTTAAGAATCAAGAAGTTACCTTGACCGGTTGTAGAAGGCGAGGGAGCCGGTGGCTGAATAGGAGGAATATTTGGAGTAGGCTGTGGTTCAAGGACCGTAGTAGGATCAAAGAAGGAGTAAGTCTCATACCTAATATTACAGCTTTCAAAAATAACTCTTCCCCCTTTCTTATTATCACAACATGTTCTTAATTGCGGGATCGCATTTCGAAGGCAGATGTCACAATCACCACTCGTAAGATCTGGCGTGCACTGTGCCAGTGTATACAATCTTTCAAATTCCGTGAAGTTAGCTATTTTTGTAGCAAATTTCTTACCGGGGAGATTACTATTAACTGCTTCCGATGCTATTTCATTCATCGTCTCTCCTAATAACTGTCTGAACCTATTGGGTTCATCTGTAATGTTCTCCATATTAGACAGGTATAAAGTGAAAGACATCTCCAGCCTCGATAATATAGATTCATTTGAGTAGCGTAACATGCAATAATCGTACCTGTTGAAACAATATTTAAATGAATACACATTGATCACTTCAACTTTTGGTAAAATAAATAGTCATACCAGATAGTTGCCCGTTTTTCCTTGGGACAACGTTTCAGGACATCAGTGATAGCATCTTTCACACATTGTTGGCAATCATCAGTGTTAACATCGCCCCTACATAGAAATAGACCGTAGACAGTGTCGGAAGGGCCGTGACCGACCTTGTAAGTGTAAAACCCATTCTCCCAGGTGCCGTTTGAAGATAAAGAAAGTAAAGTTTGATTCAAGTTGGATCGATAGGTGCTATTAGGACTGTATGTAGCTGTATCTGGGCACCAATGGTAACGAGGATCCGATCTAATTCTTATGCTGAAGCAGAGAATGCAAAATAAGCAAAAATATGTAGAGGTGATGAGGGCTGACATGATTAACCTTCAAAAAAAAAATCTGCTTATAATTTTGATATTTTTTCGAACAGAAATGGATTTTTATTGGATGTGGAAGGAGTGGTGAGCGAAGACTTGAAGTGCCAGTCAATGGAAGAGAATATTTTGGTTGCATGGTCCTCGTGGAAATTAATAAAGAAGATATATACCAACAATTTACTTATTGATGGAGAAAGGACTGAATACTGTTGATTTTTTCATGGTCTAGAATTTACAACTCTGAACATTTCAACTGTCTAGACTTGTCAAATGTATCGAAGTGTTCAGTTTCACAATTGCTTGGCTCGTGAAAATCACAGCCAACCTGTTACAAGCCAAGTGTTTGTGGGAGTCTATCTATGCGCTTGACTGTAGAGGCTCGATTACCATCTTCAACATCCAGCGTAGAAGTATTATGATATATTGGATTGCATGATATTGAGGCAGATCGATTCGTAAAAATCGTTACCTGAAGCTGTTAGGTACCAACATGCAAATACAGTGGGACAATCCACCTCTACCTGCGATAAAAGGTTGTAGCCTAACCAAACTTACTATTTCTCATCCTTTTTTTTTTTTTTTTTTAAAATTTGAAAAGGGCGTCGTGTCTTAAATGATTTGGAGAATAATTCGAAGCTGATTATGTTTCTACCGGATATGATCAAATTAAGAGTTTAGCATGCCTAATTAAAGGGTTAAAGCACGTTACGCATGCTTAAGGAATAATATAAATTGGAGTAATAACGAGGTTGGAAAACTTTTAAAGATCTTGATTTTTAGACTTTAGTGGAGAGAAAAGTCAGATGAATTAATGAAAAAGTATGCATATGTCTTGAGGAATAAAAATAAATAAAAGATTCAAATATTTAGATGACAAATAACTAAAAGTAAGAAGAGAAAAAATAGTTTCGCCATTCCATGAGAAAGAAAGAGCAGAGAAAATGGTTAAAGAAGGGTATACTTTGATTTTACACACTTTTCGGAGACTTGTTTTGTCTTTTCCTCCTTCTTGCGAATACCACTTTAATGAGCGCGTTCCTCAGTATTTAACACCATGTTTGGCTAGGCTTAAATTTACTTTTTAAGAATTTTCGTATTTCTAAATATTTTAGATACATTTTTCTTGATTATAAATAAAAATGCTACTTAATACGATCAGCTTTACTTTCAAATCAAGTATTGTATGTCGAACTTTTATTAAAAAAATGATTATGCTTTTTGAAAATATATTTTTCAGATATAATTAAATATTTTAAGTTTTGCCAAACACGCTCTAAATAGTATCTACTTCTTTGGATTGGGTGATATAATACGATGAAAACTAAAAAAATTGAATATACTAATAAAATTTTGAAAATTAGGTCCATAGTTATCAAACTCGATGTGAACGTTGATTCGACCAAGCCTTCGAGTCACCAGCTCATTTTTCGAACCGACGATTATTGGTCTGGCTGATGGGTCTTGATAAGTGCATTTCACACATTTATTTAGGCCACAAAATATGAATAATTGTCGGCAAATAACGTGGAATATGGTTTAATTTTATATAAATATTGTGGAATATGATTAAATTATGTTGCTACTACAACAATTAAGCATCAAGTATAAATTGGCAATATAAAAATCTAATTCAACCTTACAAGATGATTGCGAGAGGACACCTTGTGGTAAGAACTCAGTACATTTTTCTTTCATAAAAATTAGTTAACAATATTTTTTTAAAGTCTATAGAATCGATTTTTAAAACTCTAGGCTCTGATACCAAACTGAAACGCCCCAAATCTAGATACCTAGATTTGGAGGTATTATCATTTGACTTTCTCTTGACATCGTAAATGCGGAAGCGATTAAATTTTTCTTTGACAAAGTAAACATCAATGACTTATTAATTTAAAATAATTAGTGCTCAAAAGATAAAACAATATAAATCGAACGTCAACTTTAATTACAAAAATGAATTCAACAACTAAATATGATAGTATCGAGTTCGTGTCACCACAAGTCATCATCCCGAATCATCCTGCCTTCATCATTTAAAAATGGGGGATAACGTGGGATGAGCTAACGCTCAGTAAGCAAACCTTATGCACATGATGCATGCTCATGATATGCATATGAGTTATTGTAGAATAAAAGGCATTTCTGAATATGTATCCCCTTCTTTTCATTTCTTTAAAAACTTAACATTGATGTCGTGAGCTCATTTGGTGTATCGACTAACCAATCAGAATGCAGTGGACAATTATTATTTGGAACTTGGTCGAGTCCTGCCAGTAGTACCACAAAGAATTAACATTAACATTATCATTATCATTGGACATTGAACATTGGTCGGGTAAGCCGATTCCTCACGTCCCATTCACACCTTTCGTGGTATAGGCATACACCTCGTAATAAAAACATTGAGGATACATATATTTTAAAAACATTTCATTGAGTCATGACATTTGGAAACTATTTTATTCCTTAAAACTTTATGTATGCTTATGGATGCGTTGATGTGCATGAATATGCATGAAACATTCATGACATAAAACGTAATAATTAAACATCAAGTTTACATAATAGAAAATTTAGCAACACATTCATATATTTAATAGGGGAATTATAAAAAATGTCACTTTATTTTTTTTGAAAATGCAAAAAAAAAAAAAAAAAAAAATTGCATGTGCACCTAATTTTATCAAAAATGTCATTTTTTTTGTGGAAAATGTCCAACTTACCCTTCATGTCCCCCTATTAGAAGCATTTAATGCTATGTTCCAATCCAATTAATGTTATGATTTATATATATATATAATATGAATTTACTTAAAAAAACGATAAAAGAAGTAAAAAACCTACTTAACATCAAACAAATATCTTCTTCAACAAACCCTCACTTCACCCATCTTCTTCATTCCTTGGTCAAGAAAACATTACTATAAGATTCATCATCCATTTTGAGAGGTTAGTTATTATGATTTGTTTTTATTTTTATCGAATAGCTTACTATTTTTTAAATGATAAAAACAACATGATAATCAAAGTGAAGAATGCTTTTGAAACTACTATTAATCATGATGCTCCTCATTTTTGAAGGGAAAAGATGCGAAAAAGATTTATGCAAATGTTAAGTGGTAGCAACCTTACCAAATCGATGTCGAAGTACGTGTCAGTGATTAAACTGTCGAACATAGAAATGTGAAGAATAAGACTATGCTTTAACAAATATTCTGACTTGATTCAACAATGTCAAATGATGAACAACCATCGCGTATCTCATATAAATTCATTATTTCTCCTGTGACCCCAGTTATGTGAAAAGCAGTCATACATTATAGATAAATAAGCAATAATAACATCAATCTAATCAAAGCTATCATAGAAGTCAATTGATGAACGCAATTTGTCATAATCGTCCTCGTGCATATAGATCTCTACCCACTCATGTGGGCAACCAAAATGACATTTCAAAGCGAAAATGAATTCATCAATCAAGCATAATGAACAAAAAATGTGAAACAAACCATTGAAACTGGAACACAGAAAATGATTGCATCAATCAAGCATAAACAACGACGAATCAATCAACAAATTATGAGATCATAACATTTCATACATGTTAATGCGAAACACACGAGCAATTGGGAACCAAAGTTCAAATTGTGGAACTAAGCTTAGGTAAAGGAAGGAACTGTCGTTCCTGATAGTTCATCTATCGAAAACTTCATCTGATCTGTCGATGAGTTTATCTGTCGAGAATTACTGATGCTAACTGTCAGGAACGACAGTTCAAGCGATTTCAGAGCTATGCTATCATTTCATTATGACATATTGTCATTTCATTCTGACACAATACACATGTTTTGTACAAGGATATATAAGACATTCAAATAATTCATAGGGTCAAAAATGTCCTAAATTGACATTTTTGATGGAAAATTTGAAAGGTGACATTTTTGATAATGTATAGCCAAATTTTGACACCCAATGAAATTTTCTCTATTTAATAATATCACGTGCGCATGAAGACAATGGGAGGTTCACTTACCTGAAATCCTTAGCAATTTATATTTGGAATGGCAAGTGAAGATGTCCTTAGCGCCTATAAGTCTACGTGCCAAATAACCTAGTCATTAATATTTATTTAGAATTTCAACAGTATTCATCTTAAAATCAATCCATATCCTCATATGAATAGACTTAGACTCATGTAACTATTCACTTGGGTGATAAATTAATAGATGTTAATTACCATAAATAAAGGAACCCAATGATAAAACAAGTTCCCTGCTCAAACACAGTTTGTGCTAAACGAATTTACATGAATCATTATAAACTAGTTATAATTATGTAAGGAGTATACATATATGCATATAGATACGTGTGCTGGAGAAACTAAAATGGGTCACTATACAATTGGTTGATCCACAGGTTGCAAGATGACATTAAAATAACATAAGTTTGACCATATCATGATTCCATCAAATACTGTAAAATGTCACTAATCACTAATTTTTCTATCAAATGATATTAAAATAGAATACAAGTATTATACCTCAAGTGCTGACTCCAAACACAGAAGACGAAGTGGAAAAGAAGAACATGGCTAATATTAAGATTCTACATTATATCCTTTTTATTTATATGAAAGGGTTAATGATTTCATTCCACAAAAAAATGCACAAGAAGATCTTCAATTCCAAATTTAAAGCATCAATTATGGTATACATTGATTTTGTTTTGTTAACTAATATCCATCAATTGACTTAATTAGTGCGCTAAGTAATCAAATTGATTATAATTATCAAGTTAATTAAGTTGAATAAATTTTATATAGATGCAACATAAACTTCTTTTACTATATCTATAGTTTACTTCATAGCTTGGTTCATCTTATTATAATTAACTTTATTAGGCACGAGATCATACCTCCGGAAAATATAATTGTCATGACAATATTAAATTCATGAATAAAAAATAAAAATAAATATAAGGACAAATGTTATAATTATAAACACTAATCATTTAAAGGCGAAATGTGATGTTACAGCAGGACAACATTAATGACTTTGGTGGAAGTTAGGAAAAAACAAGTGAAAAAAACCAAAATGGAAGAAAATCAGGGACCAGAGTG